AGGAGAAGCAGATCCAAGAGGCATGTGTACAGGAGAGCAAGCATTCCTTCCAGGAGCAGGCGGAGTGTGTGTGAGGGTATTCAGCTAGGCAAGGGGCTGATGGCTCAGAGCGTGGAGCCTGCTCCCAGCTGCATCCCTTACTAGGTGGTCATCTTGAACAGTGAGATTCTCTGTCCCTCCTTTTCCACCTCTATAAATTGGGAATAATTACCACACATCATAGGGTGGCTACTCCCAGGATGGGTTGTGGTAGGATTAAATGTGCTAATATTGATAAAGCATTTAGAATACTGCCTGCTGTGTAAGGTTTATTACATGACGGGAAGGGTGCTGTGGCCCCATAACTCGATGTTTCTGTGACCTGATGATCTCTTAGGCATTAAGAGCTAAGTTGGCATCTAGAGCATGTGGGAGAGGGCCCACTTGATGGCTGTAGTTTCCCAAATAATAGATCTCTCACTTGAAGTTCTGTGCCACAGACGGACACTGAAGATTTTTTTTGAAGTCTCTTGATGAATTTGGTTTTACCTAGTTCAAAAGCTTTCAAAAATTGTCCTCAGCAGTTGACTCCTTTTGTCCAAAGTCTTCTGCAAACCCCTGATGTTTGTAACCGATGCATCTGTGCTGCTCTGGTTGAAATAACCGTCAGCGGGACTTATCCTTTAAACGCCCACTTCCTCTTTCCTAAGTGGTACAGTTTGGAAACACGAAACACAGTCTGGACCCTGCTGTTCTGGTCAGTTCAGGGCGATGTGAGTGACTCCTCCAAGGTCACACAGAGAATGGCAGATTTGAGACTAGGATGAGGGTCTCCGGAACTGCTTGGTTCTGGAACTGCTTGAACCCCCTTCTGTTAGTACGGGGGTTCTCAATTTGGGGAGCACTTTAGAATCCCCTGGGGAGCTTAAATAAACGATCAGTGCTAGGGCTCCACCTTCAGAGAAACTAACTGAATTGGGCTGGGAGTGAACCGTGCATCCAACAGTGCTGGATTTATTCAGTCTCTAGTTAGAAACAAACTTTCTTTGTCAAAAAACTATGTCTTACAAGTTTTCACTGTGAAAATGATTAATTGCATTTTAAAGGTTAGCTATGCCAGCGTTTCTAGCCCTGCTGTGCTAAGGTGTTCTCCAAAGCTGGGTGTTGCCCTTCTCGGTCCTGCTTCAGAAGTCCCCCAGTCTGGTTTTTCTCTTGACTGCTTAAAAATTGCCCAGAGAGTTCAACAGCGGGTTGTTGCTGCAGTGCCTTTAGAATGCTTTGCCTTGTTGAAGGAAATGGTTGGATTACTCATCAGAAAAATGTCAGAGTTGCTTTTTAAAAAATATAGTAGCATTGCATTGCCGTGTGCCTCGTTATTTCATGGGGTCTGATCTTCTTTGAATCAAATCATGATTCTAGAAATATGATACTTTAGGTGTAACAGAATCTGAGTCATGGACACAGCTGGTCCTATTTCGTCCCTCACTGGCCCCACCCACAGCTTCCTTAACAGTGTTTGCTGGATTTTCATTTAAATTGGGTGCAGAAGGACTGTGTGGGCAGTTTTTACTCAAGCAGCCTTGGGACTTTTGGGGAATTAGATGTGATAAGCAAAAAATCCCTTTCTTTTGCCACTTTTCCCTAGTTGTGAGGGTGTAATATGGCAATATGTACTTTACTAATACAGCAAGTAACAAGGGCTCATGTTGAGTGTAATAACTCCGACTACTGCTAAGTAATAATGAGCATAAATAATAATTCAGGCTGTGTAGGATGACAGTCATTGTTTCTCTTGGTGACCAGGTCATAGGAATTGCTAATCCCGTGATGCTTCATTGCCTCGCATTCATAATAAGAGGAAATGCTAAATTTCAGAGGCTGGTGAAAATATAGGTTCACTGAATTCTATCCACAGATGCCCTACATTAAGAACTTTTTCCAGGGGTTTCAGTTTTATTCCTGGTTGATAGCCACTTCTACCTACTTTTCATTCTTCTTTTTTTTTTTTTTAAGATTTTATTTTATTTTATTTGACAGATAGAGATCACAAGTAGGCAGAGAGGCAGGCAGAGAGAGAGAGAGGAGGAAGCAAGCTCCCCGCCGAGCAGAGAGCCCGATGCGAGGCTCTATCCCAGGACCCTGGGATCATGACCTGAGCCGAAGGCAGAGGCTTTAATCCACTGAGCCACCCAGGCGCCCCCATTCTTCTTTTGTGTGCTCTTGCATTGCTTATCTCTCACTTCTCCTTCCCGCCACGCATGCCCCAGGTCCCAGAATACTAGATAAACATGCACCTCCTTTCATCTCCTTGTCCCCAGCTCTTGTTACAGAAGCTGGCAACAGCAGCTTATCAAAATGTCATGAAGCCCGCAGACAGGGAGCCCAGAAGGCAGTCTGTTGAGGGCCCGTGTGGCATCCCAAGCAAGACGCCAAGGGCCCTGGCTCCTTCAGATTTCCTGTCCCACTACCTCGAACAGCAGGTTTCAGCCGGTTTTGCAAGAGGGTTACTCTACCTCCAGGTGTTGCTTCTGTGACCCAGGCAGGAAGGAAGCAGAGACGGGTAAAGGGCAAAGGCCAGGCCACTTGAGCTGTTCCTTTTATCAGGAAAAGAATAGCTTTCCTGGAAGTTCCACCCAAAAGAGTGGATACTAGGTAAGCAAGTACCACAGTCAGACACACAGCCCAAGCCTCCTGGAATTTTCCCCAACTGGCTGCTCTATCAGCTCTCATTCCCTCCCAGTTCTTCTTGTCCCATCTTCAGGGCCCAGCTTCTTCCCCCACCTCCCCCCGTGACATGGATTGATACTTCTTGATTATTGAACTTTCGGAGTTTAGCAGAGGCATTGGACTCTTCTACAGTAGCTTCTCATGTTGGTGAAGAACTAAAGCTCAGAAAGTGACTGAGGTGAAACCATGGTAGTGATAGCAGTCACACACAAGGGAGACTACTTATCTACTCCGCAGGCATAAATCACCATTCACCCTTGCTAAATACCCACTCCCTGTGAGCGAGCTAACGCCTGCTGCTTATGTACTAGGCAGACATGGTCCAGCTGAGCACCAGGGATGTCCGGCTCTGGAGTGACCCAGCCAGGGTCGAACGCCTTTACTGCCTTTCTCACCTTGGTCTGCCTCCCTCGCCCACTGATAGGTATTGACAATGCCATTAGAACTCACATCTTCTCATTCTGAAGTCCTTGTTCTTTCTACTGCCCTCTGAGTTCGAGTGCTTTTACTCATTCATAAGTGTTTGTTACTGCCTGAATTTGAATGTCTTTTTAGGGTGTTCTTCACCTCCTAGCTGGCATCCTCACTTTCACTCTTTCCTAATCCTCATGGCATAGCCTGAGTGATCGTTTAAAAACATAAATTAAGTTTGTTACCCTCCCACCCACCTCAGCCAATGGGTCTTTGTTACTCTTAGTCTAAAGCCAAGATCCTGCATGTGTCCTGGGAGGACTGAGTGGTCTGGCTGCCACGTCCCTCTATAGCCTCATTTCTCCCCCATGCCTTTCCTGTTTCACTCCTCTATTCAGTCATATGGTATGGTTTCATCTCCTCTCACCTTTCTACCACAGGTGCATCATGCACCTTCCTACCACAGGGCCTTGGCACCTGCTGTTTCTACTGCCTGGTGGTCTCTCCTTCCCCATCATTGTCTTGTGAATTTCTAAACAGCTCTTAGGCTAGCCTGCATGTCCCCAGGAAACCTCCTCCAAGTCCCCTTCTGCAAGCTGGCCTCCAGGAGGCACCAGGAGCCAAGAACCTCTCTTTGTAGCCCTCACTAGAATTCTGATCTTATGTTTGTGTGATTATTTGATCAGTATGTGTTTTCCCCACTGGATTATTAAGATCAGACCATATCTGATATGGCTTCCAGCAAGTTTTTTTTATCCCCTGTCCACTTTGCACCTGTCACGTAGGGAATGCACAGTATTTGTTGACTAAAAATCTTTTTTTTTTTCTCAGCACGTGGCACAGAATTAAAAGTAAAATTTAAAAGGCACAAATGGAGCAGTGGCATATGTCACCATAACTATGTGGTATCTTCTGGCATCATTCTAAGATAGACCAAAAGAACTTTATTTAATGGCTTTAGCTAGAAAAGGATTTGATATTTATTGCTGTGGGGGTGTATACGCTAGTAGTTAGAAGTAGATGTTATATACACCCTACCTGTTTAATTACCAATGCATCTTACCTATTCAATAAAGTAATTAATGCATTTAATTTAAGCTTTTTTTCCCTATAGCTAAGATCTTAGGCATGTGTAATTCAGACATGGTTTTTAAAAATATTCATTTGAAATAGTCTAGAAATAACTCTGAGACAAAATCCATGGTAAGTGAGGGAACGTGGGAATGTGTAGCTTTAGGATAGGAAGAGGAAGAAACAAAGATGTTGGGTACCAGCTGGGAAACTGAGGGAGGCAGGAAATAAGAGAAGGAGATTAGAATTGGCTGCATCTTAGACTGGGTGTCTAAGGGGAGAACATGTTCTAAAAATATAGGATGTAGATCAAAGAGGATGGGGCAGGTATCTGAGAGTGAAAAGGCTCTAAAGGGGGAAAAATGGGTCTACTGATTTCCTCTTGAAGAATCTGCAAAAAAGAGCTTGACTTCCTCCAAAGACTCCAAGCCAAGCCTGCTCTGGGGTTGCAGAGGGCAATGAGAACTTGGGGGTTAAAGCTGGACTCCTAAAGACTTGCCTGCTGGCATGGAGTTTGACATCAAACATCCGTACATCAAATCAAGGTGGATCTTGCCACAGAGTAGTTGCTGAGCTTACTTGGTAATTTGGGCTCGTCCTGCAGGCAGAGAAGCAAGGACCGCTCCATCCCCCGGGGGGTGATCACAGCAGTGACAAATCCCTGAGCCTTTTTGCCGGGTTTTGACCCCCATTGTTTGCCAACCAAAGACAGATCAGAAGTGGATGCGCTGAGCGCCCCACCTCGCTGCGTCAGTGTGACCCTGGGGCCCTGACCACCCAGGTTCTCACTCCCTGTCGCCTCCCTCCCCCAGGAATCAGAAGGCGTTTCCTGCCACTACTGGTCGCTGTTTGACGGTCACGCAGGGTCCGGGGCCGCGGTGGTGGCCTCCCGCCTGCTGCAGCACCATGTCACGGAGCAGCTGCAGGACATCGTGGAGATTCTCAAGAACTCTGCCGTCCTGCCGCCCACGTGCCTGGGCGAGGAGCCCGAGAACACGCCCGCTCACAGCCGGACTCTGACCCGCGCGGCCTCGCTCCGCGGAGGCGTGGGGGCGCCGGGCTCCCCCAGCACCCCGCCCACGCGCTTCTTCACCGAGAAGAAGATCCCTCACGAGTGCCTGGTCATCGGGGCGCTGGAAAGTGCGTTTAAGGAAATGGTAGGTGTCGCGGAAGGGTCCAGGGGTCTGGGTGGAGGCCCTCGCTTAAGCCAAATCCATGCTTCTTGTAGAAGGTTCCCTGGAAGGGCATGTCTTTGACCTGTCCTCTAGTTGTGTGGCTCCGCATGGGTCTCCCTTTGATAACAGGCCTCCACTCTTAGGAGAGGGTGGCAGTAAGAGTTCCTGGCATGGCATGCTGGCAAAATTAAGAAGATGAAAGGGAGGGATAGTGTATGACGTAACAGGCTTTTTAAAGGTAAGCATTATGGCTTCTCTTTCTGCAGACTCATTGATGCCAGCTGGTATAATTCCACTTAACTGAAACGCAAGCGTCCTTGCCATCTGTCGGACACATGTGTATGAATTCCAGGTGTTTGGGGGAAACGGCACTTTAGTCAAGTGCTCAGAAGTACCTTTCCCATACAAAACTGATCCGAGAACAGCTACTGTAACCATGATTGGCCATGTGGTTCTCAGTGCTTTAAAAAAAAAAAAAAAAAAAGTACCTGCTGAAAGAGAATCAAGGGGCTAATATCCGAGATCACCGGCTTTACTGGGGAACATGGATTTATTTGTGTGTTTAAATGCGGACGTGTCTTATCAAAGAATTCAGCCTCCTTCCCTCTCAGGCTCAGTCCTGAGAACACACATAGGGAGGGAGTGCAGCTGCTTTCATGGTGTCCCCTGACCCTACGCCTGGAGAAGGACCACCCACTGGACCACCCCCTTCCCTCTCTGAGCTCACTTTCTACTGACGCTGTTATTTTGGTTCCAGAGATTTTTCTTTCCTGAGCAACAGCCTGTATGCAGGTAATAGAGAAGAAGTATTTAAAGATGTCATAATGATATGAGTAAAGTGAGTGTGCTGTATTCTTAAAGCCTGGAGACTCGGTACTTGGGAGGGCTCAGTCAGTGAAGTGTCTGCCTTTGCTGGGGTCCTGATCCCAGGGTCCTGGGATCGAGCCTCATTCCAGCTCCCTGATCAACAGGGAGTCTGCTTCTTCCTCACCCCTCCCACTGCTGCTCGTGATCTTTCTCTCTCTCTCAAGTAAATAAATAAAATCTTAACAACAGGAACAACAACAAAACCCTGGGCATTCAGAAGTGATGAAAAACTGTTGTTAAATGAAGTACGAACAGCTAGGAGCACCTCCCCAGAATGGAGTGTACACAGAGTGCACATTCCGCAATTAGGCTGTGTGCTAAGGAGAAAAAAATAATGTTGCACAGCGCCTTGCCATCTGATTTGTTTCTAAGGCAAAATAGTTCATATGTTCAAACCTGGCATTTGCATCCTATCCTCACTTTTATGCATCCCCTCTTGGGTCACCGTGTTTCCTTGTCATATAAATATTTACCCTTTGATTAGCAGGTGACTTAAAATGCACCTGTCTCTCAGGAGTGTCTGGTAGCCTTTAATCCCAAGAAGATCACCAGGAAGCTGGAGAAGATTCTTTAGGAAAAAAGGAATCAAGGTAGTAAAGTTGACTTCTACTCAGGCTTCATATAAAATCTCATTCCCCAGCTGTCACAGAAGCTCTGATGGGAATAAGTGTTTCTCGACACTGATGTTCAGAATGCTAAATATTTAATTGAGGTAAAAATGTGACAGTAGGCTGTTCTCTTGATGGGAGAAAAACTCAGCTGACATGACAGAAGTGAAAAACAAGGGACGCCTGGGTGGCTCAGTTGGTTAAGCAGCTGCCTTCGGCTCAGGTCATGATCCCAGCGTCCTGGGATCGAGTCCCACATCGGGCTCCTTGCTCATCAGGGAGCCTGCTTCTCCCTCTGCCTCTGCCTGCCATTCTGTCTGCCTGTGCTTGCTCTCTCTCCCTCTCTCTCCCTCTGACAAATAAATAAATAAAATCTTTAAAAAAAAAAAAAAAAAGAAGTGAAAAACAAAAGAAACTTTGGGTTTCTCATTTCCTTCTGTAATTGCTTATGCCCTTAGACATCTTTTACTTGAACCTGCTGTATTCTCAGATCTATCCACTAGAGGCCAATGTCACCTTGAGGCAGGCCTCTGCAGCGGTCTCTGGCGGTTTCTGCCCATTAATGGCTAAGGGTTACTAGCAACCACTATACTTGAAGTGAGAGGCTTATTCAGAAAAATGCTTAGTAAAGGGCCTTATTCTTGTCTTTTTAAAATTTTTCTGGCTTTTAACCAGTCGGTTCATGACCTGGAATTTTTATCTTAGAGACTTAGCCAGCAGAAAGATCATTTCACTTGCCCATGTAATTCATTCAACCAATAAATATTTGATCAGAATTAACTGTGCTAGGCCTAATTGGGAAAAGAGCATTGAACAAACTAGGCAAAAACGAGTATTAACAAGTAAAATGTAAGTGGAAGGGACGTTGAGTGAAGAAATGCAGGGTGAAGTAGGAGTCCAGTAAAGACATGAAGGGAAGTGTTCCCTTGGGAAAGTGATGCTGGGTGGAGGGTGGGGGGGGCATTATTTAGGGAAAAAAAGCATCAAAGTAGTAAAATTGACTACTACTACTACTCAGGCTTTGTATAAAATCTCATTCCCCAGCTGTCATAGAAGCTCTAATGGGAATAAGTGTTTCTTGACCCTGATGTTCAGAATGCTAAATATTTAATCCAGGTAAAAATGAGGTAATAAAAATAAAAATTGAGTTTAAAATGAAGCAGACAAAACACAGGAGGCCATTTACATGGACAACTACATCAGAGAACCCAGATGGGCCTAAGGCAACAAGCCAGTGTCAAAGTTAGGAATGATGGATGGAAGGTGAATTGGAGAGTTGCTCTGGAAGGACCTGGTGTGCTATATTATGAATTTTTGGCTTTAAGCCATATCTCATCTCCAGTTCATCCCAGCCTGCAGCTGCTTCTTCACACTCAAGTTTTTCCCATATTGTCTCTCTAGCCACCAGCATGCCGGAGGCCTACCTAGGCATTGTACCATGTGCTTGGCCTTATTAAATGACAATATTTGTCATTGCTTTGCATGGTGCTTGCTAGGGTGGCCCTACTGTCTGTCCTCCTAGGGACTGAGCTGGTCAGTGCCTTTTGGCCCAGAGCAATTATTAATATACTGTCCCCTTTTATTCTCAAAAGTGTCCCTGTTTGGATGATGTCTTATTATAGAAAGAGGGTCTTGTTTTTCCTTTGCTTCATGGGGGACTTCAGGAAAAACCTACTCAGTGTCACAGAAATGTGCCCAACTTAAACATTAAGTTACTGGTGGTGAGCTTTACAACCCATAACACAGAAATTACACAGCATACCTTCAACTTAATGGCCTGAAAGGCCATTGCCGGCTCATAGAAGATACTCTTTCTTTACTCCCCTTTGCAGTATGATATTTTTGAGAGTCAGTGTTTGAAGGCAGACTTTGGTTTTTTGAAATGCCCAACATGCAGTTGATTTCCTTACCTTGTTGGCCTGGTTTTGCTGGTTTCTCCTTGGCCCTCTCAGAGTGGGGCACGTTTGGAATTTCTTGGGCATTTCTAAATTTTTTCCTCACAAGAGCCAGCCATTTTCTAGCTTTCCTCTTTCTAGGTGTTCTTTACATATTGCAGGTTCTGTGCTGTTCTGATCCTCTGTAGTAGGAGAAACTCAGTATTAAATAAGATGCCGTTATTTTCAGTTTTGTGGCTTTTTTACTTTCTCTCGCACTTTTCATCCCTGAAAATTCTCCAAGCCCAGCTCCTAAGCCTCCAGTTTGCCTCACTGATGACATCTTTGCAGCTACCCTTCCTCAGATTCAGAAGTCACTTACAGTATCTTTAAAGGCAAAGCTCACCCTTCACTTGGGTGTTTGCTTTATGAATAGCAGCTTAGCAGTGTAGAGTCAAAGGTCTTTGGTCTGTCCCTCTGCAGTGTCCTCAATCACTAGTATTTATTGAGGCTCTGTTTTATAGCTAGCATTCTCCTAGATACCATGGGGTCTGGAAATAAAAGGTTAGATTTTATGTCCGGGGTCATTTGGAGTCACACGTTTTATGCATATAGAGATATGGTATCTCATTTATTTTGATATTCTGGAGTGAAGTGAGGTGGTGAAATGCAGATACCTATCTAAAAGGAAGGATTGGTTAAAAAGACTTAGAAACACCACGCCAGAATAAGGAACATTGATTTCCAGGAAAAACTAGGTACTCGTCGCAAAATATAGACTACCAGCAGTGGAGAAAATGCTTTGAACCAGTGGAGATGAGAGTAGTTTCATCAAATACTGTGAGCTGCTTTGAGGTCACTGCTTTTCCTTTCCTCTTTGATCCTCCAGTTGCCTGCCCTCAGCGTGTGGCTTGTGGTGGAGGTGACCTCTCACCCCTGGCCTCTGATCCTTCCTGTGCTTTCCCGCGGAGGCACGTTTGCCCTTGGGCCCCCTTTATTACATCTCATCTTGGATCTTCCTTCATACTGAGAAGGCTGCATCGTCCATTCTTCCTGTGTCCACTGTGGAAGTCGAACCACAGTTTCCCACAGGACCAGAATCTCAGGAACTTCTGAAATGACCTCCGTTCTGCTTCCCCACGGCACTTTGTCATGGTGCCTCCTTCGGCAGCTGCGTCTTGTCACCTGTTGTGTTAGGCTGTTGCTGGGCCCCAGATGATAACTGTCTTCTCTATCCTGATGTCAGTCTTTTCCTTGCTTGCCCACCCTCCCCAAACAGAGTCTCATCATCAGCATTTCACACTCATGAGGGAGGTCGCTTCCACGACTGGCCTTTGCAGGAGATCCCAGCTTTCTTGGAATCACAGCACAGGCAGCACAGATGAGCCTTGTAGCCTACCACCCATGGGATTTGAGTTCTGGACACAGGCAGGAGGAATTTCACAATTCCGTCCTATTTCCTTTTTCAGTGTGGGTATGGATTCATCACCAGAGTGAAGAATATTTTAGAAGTTTGCTTGTTACAAAGGAAGAAAATGGCAGTATTTTCCCTTGTAAAACTACCACACATCTTCCTGTTACTGAGCTAATGACTGGAAATAGCACTGAGCTTGGATTTATTGGTCCAAAAACAAAAACAAACCATATGGTGACACTGCAGTGAAAATGAGGATAAATGCAAAACTTATTTATAGTTTATAAATCCTAGTGTTTTCCAGAATTACCATATTCATGGTAAATTATGGACCTGCATGTCTGTCTGTGTTTAATTAAGCTAATTTTGTTTTGTCTTTGTTTTTGGTAGAACAGGAAATTCCTCCAAGAAGGAATGAGCATGTGATTCTACCAACAGCCAGCAGGTGGCAACATGAGGCAATACTGGGGTGTTTTTTTTCCTTCCCATTGCCTGGCTGACAGATTGGCTTGTTCTCAGAATAAACCAAAATCAGACCCAGATCCTGAAACCATGCAGAATCTTATTATTTGTGACTGACACTATTAGCAATGTGCTCAGAACCGTGTTTTAACCCATCTGTGGGGAGCTGCCAAGTCCTATTGAAACTACCCAGCACTCATTCCCTTCCGTTGTTTGATATTGCTGTCCTTTTGGAACCTGAAATTGGTAGGAAACAAAGAATGATCCTGGAGTTGCGTCATCTCTGGGACTTTCAAACCAAATTACAACCATCCCGAGCAATATATTTTCTCTCTTGCAGTTCTCTTCCTGCAGAATTAGTCTCATTTCACACATCTTATTTTCCTTCATTGCCTTCTTTGAAACAAAAGGGAGCAAAATAAAATCCGAAGTCTTTAGAAATTGGAACTATTCTTAAGATTTAGAGATAGTCCTGGCTTAAATGTAGTATTTAGACAGATACAACACAGGATAAATCAGTCCTGCTTAAATACAAGGTGGCTCTGAGAGGTCTGTAGGACTCTTGACTGCGCAGATAAAACAATCTTGTTAATTGAATATTGTGAGTGTTTAAGTTGGTCCTTTTAGGTCATACTTGAAAAGGAATGATAGTACATGCCTGTGTTTTGCTGGTAAGTTATGCTAGACTTATGTCTTCGGGTTTGTTTACATCTAAAATGGGGAAATATTCCAAATTGGTCCATATTTAGCACAAAGCAGTGCACAGGTTTTCCCATGATTTCATTGATTTTTTGAAAATATACCCAAACCTGAGGCTTTATAAAATATAATAATAACTATGCATTTATATATATGTGTGTGTGTGTGTGTGTGTGTGTGTGTATTTTTATGTGAAGTGTGAGTAGCTTAAGCTAATTGGAAAAGTTGAGGGTTTAAAGAAAATGGGTAGCTAATTCAGCAGTAAATATCTTTATTGACTTCATTTATCGTGTTTGATCTGGTAGTAAAAGAACCATGCAGATGGTCCTTTAATGTTCCTTTCAGTACTAAGATTTAGGGAAACATCTTTTAAAGAGGAGTAGGTGGTGTAGGAAAAAATAAATGTGCTATTTTGGCTTCTAGGGAGGGGAGGGGAAGCAATTATTTTTAGAATATGTTCTAGTTACACCCAGTTTTAGAAGAAATAGAAGAGTGTATTTTAATGTCAGTGAATCCTTCAGGGGGAGGAAGTCTATGGAAACACATCTTTCAAATCCTAGTCACCAAGTCTGGAATCTTTCAAATCCCAGAGAGCATACATGTAATTAAAGCATGTGCGCACACATGTGCATCTGCACACACACGTGTTTCACCACACAAATGGTGGGGGGTGATGAAAGCATGAACATATTAGCAAAGTTTCCTGGATACAAAGTAGCTAGACATTAATCCACTGTTTAAGTGATGGTGCTGCCAAATTTAGCGCTCCTTATGGTGGGGAAACTACAGAGGGAATGTAGTTGAAATATAGGAAAAGATGAAAGAAATGATGGAATCGATTAGAAAAAAATATTGAATCACACTATTAATGTAATAGCAAGGGAGTAATTGGGCAAGCTAACGGGAGTGTTTCCCCCCAGATTGAAGGCAGATAGGAACTCCGCTGTAGCAGAAAATCATAGTGTCGTATGTACATTCTTGCCTTGATTTTTTTCTTAAGGATTAAATAATATTATAATCAGGTTTTCTTGTAATGTTAACCATGACAAATAATGCACATGTGATGCAGAATGAACTTGTCTGCGTCCCAGTGGAGATTTTTGCCATGGACGGTGCTTTTACTCGGACTCTGTGTACCACAGCATTTTCTTTCGGATTGCACCAGGCATGTCAGTCTTTGGAGGCTTGTTCACACGCCAGCCTGTGTAGAGCATGCAAGCAGTTGGGGGCTCATGGGTTTTGTTGTGGGTTTTTTTTTTTTTTTTTAATAAAAATAGTCTTTCATTCAGGCATTAGGTATTCAAACAGACGTTGATTCTGGATATGAAAGGACACTTTCCGTTACCCTCAGCAATTCCTTCCAGTATATTAAGAACAGTTATGGAGTCGTAGTATCAAGTGTGGACTTGATATACAAGTTTATATACTAATTGGCTGAAATATTTGTCTATCAGAACATCAACTTTATAGTACTTATTTAAATGCAAAAGAAAGGGAATATATCCATCCACAACTGCTTTGTGAACTGGGTTGTTGGTTCTGTTCTTATGCATTGTTTGGAGGCTAGACAGAACTTCGGACACCTTGACATTTTCTTTCCCTTTCACTTCCCCGTTGATGGTCTTCTTGGCTGCTGTCCTTGCCCCTCCTTCTCCTCGCTCTCCAGGCTCCTGCTGTCCCGTGCAGGACCTGGTAACCATTCATTCATTCTCGTCAGCAGGCTGCATCTGAAGTGAGGCATGGGTTCCAACTTAATCATCATCTCAGTGAGCATTTGCTTGCACTGTAAGCTTTTCCTTTGTGAATTACGAACAGGGGTCAGGTGGTGAGGACGTAATTTAGAAACCTGGGCATGTCCAAAAGTATTTCTTCATTTGCCCGTTTAACAGATTAAGAACTATCTTTTTTTTTTTTTTTTTTTTTTTTAAACCTGGCCTGGTATAGGTGTTAAGGGTCTAGCAGCAAGCAATAGAGGTCTCTGTTCTCAGTCATGAAGCTTCTGGCCCCAGGAAGGATCCAAATGGCCCGCTCAGCCCGTCACACATAGCATCCAGTTTAATACAGTAGTCCTCTAAGAAACTAATGGATACAGGGTTTGAGTACATTTTTTAAATCTGGCACAGTCTTCAAGAGTGGTCCTCATGCTTGACTCTACAGCTGGAGTTTTTCTTCACTTCTAAACTACTATGTCCCACATACACACATTCTTACCCCCATGGTTCCTCAGCCTTCCCCCCCCCCTTACCCAGTTGATCCCCAGTAAGTTAGTTTCTCCCAGATCCTGTTTTTGTACTTTTTATCTCTTTTTTAACAGTGTGCTGGTCTTCATCTGTCTCCTTGGCTCTGGCTCTTCTCCTGTTTCCAGTTTCTCACTGGCAATTTATCTGACCGTGTATTACCAACGCTGCCCCCCCCCCCCCCGCCCCCGGCGCCAAGCATTTGCTGATCAATGTTGGCTTACTGGATTATCTCCTCCCTTCTCTACGAGGAGGCTGGTTAAAGCCGCATAGTTGCAACTCTGTGGGTTTCTAAGAACCAGAGAAGTGCCCTGGCCCTTTGTCTACCAGGGACATCCTAGAATCAGCCAGAGCACAACTTCCTCATCTGTTTCCTCCTCCCTCCCTTTGCCCCAACCTTCGACTACCATGGGAATGTCTGGCGTTATTTTAGCCAACATTCATTTTGTTTTCCTAGCTCAGCTCACATTTTTCTCAGGTCACGGAACCGTGCTTCTGTCAGTGAGGCGGGATTTCACAGACACCTCTGTCTTGGATGATATCTCTCTGTCCATGGGAGTCTTGGTCAATTTTTCATTGTCTTGGGGAGGCCTCATTAGGTGGCAGGTAATAATAAACCTTGGAGGAGGAGAACAAGATTGAAATCCAAACTCCAACCAGGTAAATATGGGCAGGTTACCCCCCTTCTGCATCCAAACACTGAGGTTAATAATACGGTTTTGAAGGAGCACCTGGGTGGCTCAGTGGATTAAGCCTCTTCTTTCGGCTCAGGTCATGATCTCAGGGTCCTGGTTCTCTGCTCAGCAGGGAGCCTACTTCCCCCCCCCCCCCCCCGCCCCTGCCTGCCTCTCTGACTATTTGTGACCTCTGTCTGTCAAATAAATAAATAAAATCTTTTAAAAAAATAATAATACGGTTGTGAGGATCCACTGAGATTCTCTATGTACGGGACTTCCCGCCCGGCCTGACACAGAAGCCGGGCTCAGGAAATACTGGCTGTTGCTGTGAATGTGTGTCCCTGCTGTGAAGCAGCAGCTGGAGGAGGGTGAAGTCAGATCAGAGTTTGGGAGCTTCTATCTTTGATTAATAAGACAGGGGGTAGACTCTGCCGGTTTTGAGTAGAGGACACCGTCCTTCAAGTCACTTCTCTTACCTAGCTGTAAAAGCAACTGTTGGAGACTTTGGGGTTAAAAACATTGCTCTGGTTCAAGTACTTGGCCTTTCAATATTTCTCATGTGGCAGCTCAGGCAGTCCATACAAAGACAACATTTTCCACAAGTTACATTTATTGAATACAGTTGGTTTTCTTTTTCTTGCTTTTGTTCAGATTAGATCTGTTTGCCATTCCTTGTTTCCTGTCTCTGGTCTGCAGATGGTCTAGTAGACCACGGTTTTATGTCAGTGTCCTCAGTGAGAAGTGCTCTTCAGGTGGTAGAAGAGTACGAAAGATTTTCTTGTCCCATCTTTGAAGCACATTCAGACTCAAAGAGCTGTGTCGAGGGAGTGAGGTTCAGAAAGTCTTTGATAAGAGTTCCTGTCCATTCCAACACTGACTTTGTTTTCTTTCTCCAGGACCTTCAGATAGAACGAGAGAGGAGCTCATATAATATATCTGGGGGCTGCACAGCGCTCATCGTGGTTTGCCTTTTGGGGAAGCTGTATGTGGCAAATGCTGGCGACAGCAGGTAAGCAGTTTCTCTGTCTGGCTCTTACTGATTTCCAGTGCCTTCATAATTTCTATCCTTTTTAAAAGAATTAAATGATGGGCAATTAGATATTGAGAAAGAGGATCCTTCTACATCTGAATAAAACGCATTTAAGATGAGTCATCGGGCTGGTATGAGAAGGTGAAGGCTGTCTTCTGCTTGTCCACCAGGGCAGTTTGCACGTATACCTGTGGCCAATTTAAACTGGTTGTATCCAAATGTTTTTTGACTTCAGAACCTGATTTGCAATAAAAGCTTAGCAGAAGCATAAAACGTGAGAGTGAGAGGAGGGAGGAGAGGGATTTGAATGAAGTGGGTGTTTGGAAGGGACCCGGGAGGACTCCACAGCTGGTTCTGCTTCGGCTCAGTGACTTTGCTCTGTCCCCTCCCAGAAGCCCACGAGTTTCTCCTTTTATGCATAAGCCCTGAGAGGCTGTATTCTTCTTCTCTGGGCTCAACTGAAAGGAATTTTGGCCACGAGTTTATGGTTAACCCCTACTCAATCCAGCATTACCGGGAATAAGATAAACTTGGCTTTTATTTTAAGTAACTGATGTGTCCTCACTTTAGGTGCAGGGAATTTTAAAATTATAGACTTTGTGAAAAGTGTTCTGATATGTATGACATACTTCTCTGCCCCTTTAGTCACAGCATATGTTGGCTTCTTGCTAAAGACGGACTCTTTGTTTTGAAAGCAATCGGAGTACTGGACTCTGCAAGATGTCCTTAGGGGACCAGTGATGTCCCTGCACAGTCTGTGGTCCTAGGATGCCCTCATTCCTCCATCCCCTCCCTTCAGGTCACATGCCTCTTCCAGCATTCCTGCTTGCCCTGGCCCTGCTCCAGGTCTGACCCCACTCCCCCCGCTTCCCTGTTCGCATCAGGTCACGGCTAAAGAGGGACTCCCACAGACCGCAGAGGAATTTACCTTACTTTTACTCTCATTTACAAAGCCTTTGGGAGTTTTTGTTCCCTCTACTTAAACATCCTTTCTTGCTCTTCCCACTGAAGAGTCCAGAGAGTCAGGGAGAGCGAACTTCTAAGGCAGCAGTATTTGGGGTCTGTTTATTTTTACTGTGTACGTGGATTTCCATTAAACTCTATGTCTCCATTTCAACATAATGTTGTGCTGGGTAAATGGAAGTGTCAGTAGGATACCAGGTGTACCCATGGCTTCTACTCCTTGGTGTCATGACAGATTCCTGGCAGAAGACAGACTCCTGCTCAGGTGGGTCAGCTGAGTGAAGGAGTGAAAGGAAACCCACTCGGAAGACGTTTACCACCTGAGGCCTGCAGGGCCCAGGGAGGATTTACTACAGCAGAACCCAGGAGATTGGGGAGGAGAGAGAGCTCTCTGGGCAGGAGCTACAGGGGAAAATGGAAGAAATATTTGGACTTCTTTCTCTTTCCATTACCACCCCTAACCCCCATCTCTTGCAAGCTCACCAATGGGTGAGCCCAGCTGGGCGCCAGGCGACAAGTAGGCCAGAGAGAAGTGCGCCTCGAGGTCAGCCCAGTAGGGCACGCACACTGACCAAGACGGCCTCTCTGGGGTAGGGGCAAGTGGAGGGTAATCAGCACGGCTGCTGCTTCTCCTTTCCTTCTCCATCCCAGGGTTTGAGCTTCTCAAAAATAGCAAGCCTCGGGGAGCTTGGGCGGCTCAGTGGGTTAAAGCCTCTGCCTTCGGTTCAGGTCATGATCATAGGGTCTCGGGATCGAGACCCTCATCGGGCCCTCTGCTCAGCAGGGAGCTTACTTCCCTTCCTTTCTCTGTGCCTGCCTCACTGCCTACATGTGGTCTCTGTCAAATAAATAAATAAAATCTTTAAAAAAAAAAAAAAACCTCAGTCTTCTGGGGCCTCTTAAGACAGGCACTGAGGAGCTGGCCTCTGGGCCTGTTGTTGTGTTCCACATCTTGTGTTTATTTGGAGATGGATGAGCAGATCAGGCAGTGATGCCCTTCTGCGTGGAGGGAGACCGAATCAGTGACTGAGCCGTTGATGCTCATAGTCCTTTGTCTTTATGTTTAGCTCCACGCCCTTGGAAATGACTGCCTTTCTAGTCCTTCCAGTGAGTAGGGAGGTGACAGAATGCCTTGCTCCCTGTGGATAGGCCCACCTCTCATTCCAGGGGAGCACCTCTCACCAGATGGTCTCCAACTCAGACAGTAATCCAGCTTCTGGGCCCAGAGTATCTCCATGTTGGATTATCTTCATTTTGAACATAGTTTTCTTCCAATCTCCAAGCTCTTAACAGAGCCACTTACCAGCCACAGCCTCGATCCCACTTCCCAAAAGCTCTAGTGCCCTGTCCAGGACCTGCCACTTTCAAGTATCCATCTTCTGGGCCCCTCTTCTCCCCCTGTCCCCCCACCCACCCACTTTTGTTTATAAAGTGCCAATTTCCAGACCAGATCAGGAACTCTCCTCATCTATAAAAATAGTGGTGGTAGACGAGATAATTCCTAAAGTTTCTGGCATCCTATAGGTTATCCCATGAGGAGTGATAGTTTGAGAAAGTAAAGTGATGCTATACTTGTGGATTTGGGGGGATAATTTTTATCCTTCTTAGAGTTGTTTTTGAACTATTAGTATAACACAGGTTCCCATGTTCCTAAAATGTTTATAAAAGTAGGATATTTTACAAGTTCACAATAATTTGAAATGCCTAATAGGTACTTTTATCCTTATTAAAGCTATAAAGTGCACACACACACACACAAATTATCCTATGATAAAATAGTATCTTTAAAAACCCAATAAGTTAATTACATGTGTAGTGTTCCATCTCCAGTATCCAGATATGAATTTGGAGTTTTATGGGTGATTGGTTGGGTTTGCTGTTCATGTGTGGGTCTTATGTCATATAGAAACCTAAGAGCAGTTGGAGTTGTTATTTGTATGCACAGTCTAAAGGATAACTTACAGGACACTTACTTATTAGGGTGCTGTTTCCAGCTCTTGTGTGAGCCACAGATACTCAGTTTCATCTTAAGCAGGATCACTGCCTAGTTTATGTACTAATATTATAAGTATTCGAGTTTACAAAAATATTCAGTTATTCCCAAGAAACAGCAACTAAGTGAACTCTGGTGAGACTTACCTAAATATAAGTCCATTTTCCCTCATGGGCAAGTAGTCATGAATCTGAGGGCTAAATTTAAACAGATGATTAGAACTGACAGAAGTTTCTTTTTTTAATTATTTTTATTAACATGCAATGTATTATTTGCCCTAGGGGTACAGATCTGTGAATCATCAGGCTTACACATTTCACAGCACTCACCATAGCACATACCCTCCCTAATGTCCATCATTCAGCCACCCTCTCCCTATCCCCCAACCCCCCAGCAACTCTGAGTTCATTTGTGAGGTTAAGAGTCTCTTATGGCTTATCTCCCTCCCAATCCCATCTTGTTTCATTTTTTCCCTCCCTACCCCCCAAACCCCCTGCCTTGCCTCTCAAACTTCTCCTATCAGAGAGATCATATGATAATTGTCTTTCTCTGATTGACTGATTTCGCTCAGCATAATACCCTCTAGTTCCATCCACGTCGTCGCAAATGGCAAGATTTCATGTCTTTTGATGGCTGCATAGTATTCCATTGTATATATATATCACCTCTTCTTTATCCATTCATCTGTTGATGGACATCTAGGTTTTTTCCATAGTTTGGCTACTGTGGACATTGCTGCTATAAAAATTCGGGTGCATGTGCCCCTTCAGATCAGTACTTTTGTATCTTTGGGGTAAATACCCAGTAGTGCAATTGCTGGGTCGTAGGGTAGCTCTATTTTCAACATTTTGAGGAACCTCCATGCTGTTTTCCAGAGTGGCTGCACCAGCTTGCATTCCTACCAGTAGTGTAGGAGGGTTCCCCTTTCTCCGCATCCTCACCAGCATCTGTCATTTCCTGACTTGTTAATTTTAGCCATTCTTACTGGTATGAGATGGTATCTAACTGTGGTTTTAATTTGCTGAGTGATGTGGAGCACTTTTTCATGTGTCTGTTGGCCATCTGGATGTCTTCGTTGCAGAAATCTGACAGAAGTTTCTAGTAACAGGTCCCTGATTAATTAGGTGCTGTTTCTTTCTTCTTTATTGCCAGATATTGGCTGCTGTATGTTTACTTTAAATCTTGACAGCTTTGAGAGTGGAAGCAAATCTTCATCGTAGGTTCACTACCCCATAATTATTCACACTCAAGAGAAGAGAAGGTTCTCTCTGGTTTGATTCAGAAGCTGCTGGTGGTCAGGAACTATTTGCTGAGCTCTGTAGGGAGCTGTGAACACTCTGATTCACCATCGGGCACATGTGGGGTGGGGTTGTATTGAGGAAGGACTGCCTCATGTTGTTGGTGGCTTAGTGGTTTCTGAGTCAGTGATCGCCCTCCGTGTGGGGCGCTCCACAGGGATGCCAGGTGACCAGGGCACCGTCTGGGACAGACTTGCCCTTCGCTCCTCTGCTGAGCTAAGCAGCCAGAGAAGAACACGCAGGAACTACCTGATGCATGACAGTTGCTTTATTTTTCCTAGGCAAAGGCAGCCAACTGAACACCTAGGGGATAGTAAGGGACTAGGAAAGGAGCAGATGGTGGGCGGGTTTTCCCCTCAAGTGAAGAAAGAACTGGTAGCATGCAAATGTCATGCAAAGCAATATGCAAACTTTCACCCATTGTGTTTGAGTCATTGGCTCCTTAGGGTGCTCTGAGTGATTCTTCGGTTCGAGAAGATGCTTTGACTCCATTTTAGAGGATGATTTCATTGTATTTCTAGAGAGCTAAGTCACTAAGAGAGCAAAGCCATTTCCACTTATTTCAAACAGTGTCTAAAAGTTTGGCAGCTGAGAGTAGGTGAACTCATTCAGATTAAAGAAAACCATTTAAGATTTGTCAACTTGATGACTCCACCTGCCCAATTTATAGTAACAGAAGCAATCAGACACCTAATGAGTGCTAGGCACATGTTGAGTACTGTAAC